CCTGCTACCAGCAATGCTCTACCACTCAGTACTGCATGAGCACGGGGGTTTTTTTCTGGTTTTGGACCCAGGCAGGTTCTGGATGCTGAGTGGAGCTGGTCTTGAAAGGCAGTAAAAGCCTTGCCTCAATGGCTGCTCTGAGGAGCACGTTGAAGACACCTGAATTTGTGAGATGTTTTTGTTTCAGATATTAAATTTTCACTTTGTCAAATCCAACTTGAATCTCTCCCTGCCTCCCACTGTTCTCTCCATATAAGAAAATTAAAGAGAATTTTCTCTAGGAAATCAGCAAGTCTGATCAGGAAAAGTACAGAGGAAAAAACATTCCTAAGAACAGTTAAGTGCCATTTCCACCTTGGTCTTTCCTACATTCCTTGATATTTCATTAAGATGACAACACATGCAATGTGTGGAATCAATTGCAAAAACATGGTCACAGGAAATGAGGATCCTCCAGCCCCACATGAACTTTGGACTCGTGGTTCTGAAGCACTGTTCTGGAAGGATTCTCACAGGTACTGTAACAGCAACAGTGAAATACCATGAAGTTACAGGTTCAGGGAAGCTAGGGACATTTAATGGGAAAAATCTCACCACTGTTCTGAGCCAGGGTGGAGAGCTCTTTTCCAGTGCACCAGGTTATTCACATAAAATTCACAGTACATGTTCCTCATACACACAATTATTTATCTACAAGAAAAGGACAGAAAAAATTCAAACATCCCAGGCAGTTTATAACAAAAAGAAATCTTGGCTGCAGCTTAGCCATGGAGTTTGTCATAACATAAAACATCTTTCTTGCCTTGGAGGATAAAGTTTTTGGCTAGTAACAAGTGTTCTTTTGGCTCCTGGAGAAGCAAAGCTGGAAGAAAGACTAAGACAACAAATCCACAGGCAACTAAACAGGGGCACGGGATCACTAGGTTTTCCAGCTTTTTCTTCTCTCTGTCCAGGTTATTCCATGTGTTGGGATGTGTTGGTTTTAATACACCTGGAAATGAGCAGAGGTGGTGCCATCCTTCCAGCACCGCAGGGTTTCTACGGTGACAGAACGACAAAGAGGACAGGTCTTCTCCCTGTCAAACCAGAGGCAGAGGCACTCCTCACAGAACACGTGCTGTGGAGGCAAAGGGCCAGTGTCACCACCAGCTCCAGGCCTGTCACTGAGTGTGTCCTGGCACACTTAACAGCACAGCCACAGGAGCAAGCAACAACTCAAGTTCAGATGGACAGTGCAGATGATCAGCAGCACCCACAGGGTATGGAAAAATAAAGCCCAGCATTACCAGTTTGCCAAAGCTAAGGACACGTTACTCTGTTTCTTAGTTTAGCCATAGAAACATTAAAAAGGACCACGACATTTGGGCTAACGAAGCAGTTGAGAGGGTTTTCTGTACCCTCCTCCCATCCTTAACTCTTGGGGTTATTTTACAAGTCTTCACTTAGCTCAAACAACCCCTTTTCTCCCCCCTGCTCCTTTATTGCTCACATCACTCAGGCCTGGTGAGCAGCTCCAGTGGTTCCAGTATCCCCCTCCTCTAGAAATGTCAGTTTTCCCTCCTTATCTTCTCATTTCTACCCTAAGCCACAACAGGATCCTCCCTCCAGCCTGCCTTGGGTGCAGAGGGCAGGAGGGAGGCTCCCCAGCACATTGCCCCATCTAGCCCCAGACTGGAGAGCAGGAATAGGGCAAGAAGGGACTACTTGAAGCCATAAGAAGCTGAGGCCTCCTCAAGACATGTGGAGCCAGCAGAAATGTTATTCATCACAATCTTAACTCTGATAAGCACATACAAAGGTGTCTTCTCTGGGGCTTACAGCTTGAGAACATCTGCACAGATGTTCCCAGGAATAGTAAGGGGCCCTTTTGATGCACCTACCTGCTTTGATTTGAGAACCCTGTTACAAAGCACGGGAATGTTAAAGCTCTCAAAAATCAGGCTCTTGAGCTTTATTTTGCCATCACAACAGTATATATCCCTGGCCAAGTGTGGAGAGGCCAGACACGACTGCCTGGTGCTGCCCCAGTCTTCATGCTCATTCTGGATTGAAGCTCCTCTCAGAGCACCTGCTTATTATTCAGTCGGCCTGTTGACCAGCCAGTCTCCCCAAGGGTCAGATCTGTCTTGCATTCTAGATCCAAGGTCTGGACTGCCAACTGGCAGTCCCTGGACTACAAGGCTGGTCTTTTCCATCTCAGTAGCTATGATCAGTCCCTCAAGAGTGGCTCAGCTCTCAGGACTCAATGGCTATCTGGAAGAGGGCAATAAATACCCACTAGATCAAGACCCAGCAAATGTTTTTAGAAGTACCTGGGCTGCCCATGCCTCTCCCCAGCTGCAGAAGTTAACCAATTGAATGCCAACAAAGGACACTGACACTGTGGGAAGCTTGGTGGCTTACCTGGCACATAAGGATCAAAGGTTCCCTGAATTCTGCTTGGCAAATGGCACAGATGTCACCTGCCTCACTGCACTGCTGGCTGGTGGCACGGACTCCATAGGTCTGTTAGGGAGAGGTGAAACAAAATCCCAGTGTCCAAGGGTTTGAAGATAATCTGGTTTGTGGGGAAGCACATATATAGACATAGTTCTTCCCACCCAGATTCCCTGCATGACCTGGGAAGGACACCAGTGTAGTGTCTGTGTATGGGGAGGGAGATTTGGGGAGCAGCACACAGAGCACAGGGAGTCTGGGGCTGTGTTCTCTGTTTTGTTTTCCCCTCAAGCTGGATCCATCTTCTAGTGCCTCCACTTGTGGAGCAATGATAAAGAAATTTAATGAGCTCAACAGGGAGCTGAAAGGATTAATTCAGCATCATTTGCAGAGGTGTTTAGATAGTGGGAGGCATTATTATTAGCAAGTAGACAATAGAAGAAAGAATAACACAGCAGCACCCACAGGCTTCCTACTTTTCTTTTAGAATATGTGGAAGGTAAATGCTGCTTCTCCTGTTGTAACAGTAATAGTGGAAATGGAAACACACTGAGAAAAATGACTGGCCTAAGCCCGTGGAATGAGCAAGGCAAGCTCTAACAAGCTTCTGTGTTCCTCTCCTCTGCAATCTTTGATTTTACCATTTTAAAATATGTCACAATATTTCTCTGCAGCAGATCTAAATATCAGAACTGTATAATGTGGTGCCCGTGGTAATTCCTGAACACTGTGTGATCTGAGTGTCACTGCACATCAGACACCACATACTTCTTTTTAAAGACACTCTTACTCTGCAGTACCAAGTTCTGTCCAGCTTCTGGGACTTTTGGCCTCAATGGATTAATCCACATTAAACAAGGCTCCTGAGCAGATGAAACAGGCCAGACCAGCAACAACCTCCTACCATAGCTGGGACAGAAAAGGTTCCTAACACCCCTGACAAGACATACCAGCTTATCCAGCAATGGGACAACAAATTATTTTGTTCTATCATCATGATACTGAGCAATTTTCATCTCCATCAGTAACAAGATTCCACCTATGAAACTGGACTAATACAACTGACTGCTCTTACCTGTGGGGTGCAAAGGACCTTCAGTGCCTTCCGGACACTTCCCACACGACCACAGATGTCAAAGGACTGCAACAAAGACATTCCATTTTAGGTATTTTCCACAAACTGTGTGTGTATGTGGGCATGGGCAAGTGTGTGCACAGTCCAGAAACTCAGGAAACCGTTTCTCCAAATGGATACTCAGGTGGAACAAAGATTCTAAGGAAAAATGATGCCAGAAAAGATTTAATGGTGATGGTGAAATATGTAACAAACGTGAATGGACCACACAGAAGGGTGGCCACAACAGCTTGAGTAACAATGGACTGCAAACCAGGGGGACTTCACAGATCAGAAGGAGGAGCAGACACTGCAGGATTGTGGTGGAGTAAATTTCCCAGCCCCACTAGGTATGGAGGAGACCTAAATGGTCCTAAAATGAACCCATTCCCACCCTGAGCTCCTGAAAAGCCCAGGTTAGAAAAAGCTTTGGCTAGCTTGAGAAAAAGGGAAGGAGGGGCTGCCTGTTTACATGGGCAAAAAACTGCTTTCCTCAGCCTCTGGGGAAAAGGAGGATTTCCAGGCTCTGCCACACAGATTGGAACTTCAGGGCCCAGATAGTATTATAAAAGAAGGAGGAATCTCCTGTCTTGCTGCAGAGTGGAGTGATTAAAAGCTACTAAGAATATCTTAAGGAATAAGAATCAGGACTGAAGCAGAATTGCTCCCCTCCACCTAAAGAGTGAGAACCTTTAAATGCCAGGAAGGGAGTTGCCAGCACCTTGGTACTTTGCAGACACCCAAAGATGGCCAACTGCAGGGGCAACACCAGGTCCTTTTCTTCCCCCCTCCCTCCACTGCCCAGCAAACATGATGTGACTGCACCTGGAGAGAAGTGCTGATTCTGGGCTCCTCATTAAAACTAAAAGCAGTTCAGAGAAGGGCAGAAAATAAGCCTGCAGAAAATGATTTCTGAAAACAGACTAAAATACATAAATATTTACAGCTTGGCTGAGCAGGACATAAGTGGAAGGAAAAGATTATAAACTGCCTACAAATAGAATGGTTAGACTTGGAAGGGACCTAGATCATCATCCAGTCCCACCCCCTGCATGGGCAGGGACACCTCCCACCAGCCCAGGTTGCTCCAAGCCCCATCCAAATTTCTCCTTGAACACTTCCAGGGATGGGGCAGCCAAAGCTTCTCTGGGTAACCTGGGCCAGGGTCTCACAACCCTCACACTAAAGAATTTCCTCCTGATCTCTCACCTAAATATCGAGGCTGAACACACTCAGCATTCCTAAATGGAAGACATGGCACTACCAATAAAAGGGAAAACAGCTTGAAAAACCCCACCTGGTATGCTGGTATGCCACCTCCACCCTCCCTGTCTGGCAGGACACAGGGAGAAACACACTATGAACTAGACAATATATGAAGGAATGGTTGTGCAAGGAGCAGCCCTGCACGGGAGAAGGGCCAGATGACACAACAAGACCTTTCCATTTCTAACCAGTCAGTGGGGGCAGGGGGAGCTGGGATGCAGAACACACAGAGCTGCAGTGCACTATCAGGACAAAGGCACCATAATGCCTGGAGTTGGCTTTTTTTTTTTTTTTGGTTAGCATGATTAAGTGGGCTCACTGCAGGGAATGCCAATGAGATCATCATGCAATAGATGTGGAATCAAATGAAGGCACCAATAATGCTTCCAGTCAGCATGTAAAAAGGCTCCCAGGGTCCTTCTAGTAATGTTTCCAGTCAGCAACTACCACTTGAGGCTGCTTACTACTATAGACTGTTTCTCAAACAAGGATTGGGATCAGCTCTTTCCCACAGTCTAATTCATAGCTTCTTCTGGTTGCTTCACTTACAGTATGAATTCTAATGTCTTTGCTCTGGCTCTGATGTCTCCTCTTCCCCCAACCCATCTCCCCCCACTTTGATTTTTTGTTCCTCTGGACTTCCCTGTACCCCCAGAAGATGCATGTTTCAGTAGTCTCTGTAATGTCCATTTATCACCCCTTGCACTGAAGTCTGTGTTGCATCAGTCATCTGTCTAGCAATAGGATTCACAGCCAGGGAGTGCTTCTGTTCAGGACAGGGGAAAAATAAGACCTGGGTGTCTTTACTCATGAACATCTGGATTTCTTCACCAAAATCAGAAGTTCATGTCTACACAGTCCAAACAGAGACACCAGGACAGCTCCCATCAGCTGCACTACCCACAACCTTCTGAGAGTGA